CAAGCATGGATGAAAAGTAGTAGGTTAAAGTGGGGGGAATTATGATGAATTCCCTTTATAAATAATTGTATAACATTAGGTTGAATTCACAGATGTACTTCATTCGATTTTGCAGCTGGCATTCTCCTCGACCCCTTTTTTTGAACCATATGCTATTCCACTGCTTCTTGAAAAGCTTTCTTCTTCTCTACCAGTTGCAAAGGTTTGTTTAACATGTAGTTTTCGGTTCTACTACAGTTAAGCTTATATACCACTCAGATGTCGGATGAGTTTAGTTATTTTTGTTTCACTCTAATCTGTCTAGGTTGATTCTTTGAAATGTCTGGAAGATTGCGCTATAAAATATGGAGTAAGCAGAATGAAGAAGCACTATGGACGTCTTTGGCCCGCTATAAAAGATGCATTTTTTTCTTCCACTGGGACACATTTGTCCTTTTCTCTAGAATCCCTCACTAGTCCAGGGATCGAAAGGGATGAGATCCACAGTGAAGCTGTTAATCTTCTTCAAAGGCTTCTTAAGCAAGATATCTCGTTTCTAAGTTTTGTTGTTGATGATATAGATATAAACACCGTCATTGATACAATCTCTAGACACTCTCAGTATAAAGAAATGCCTGACACAAACAAACTGGAGGTTCTCGTTATCAGTCAGATACTGTCGGTGTCTGCCAAGGCTTCGGTTCAGTCATGCAATATAATATTTGAAACCTTTTTCTTCCGTCTTATGAATAGTCTAGGGATTTCAGAGAAAACTACCACTGGCATTCATGTTCATGATGAAAACTCTACAGTCTCTATCAGATTATACCATGGAGGTCTTTATCTTTGCATTGCACTTCTTTCAGCATCGAAAGATCATATCCTGGGTTTCGAGGAATGTTCGTCACCACCTGGATGCCTGCAGGAATCATGGTGCTCTTTAGTCAGAAGCTTCTCAGTTTCATTGATCCGGGTGTTCACTTCTGCAGTATGCAGCTCTAATGATTGTGTTGAGGATGTATATCTTGGAGGTAAAATGCATGTGCTTACTTCGCAGATATGTTCCATATTAATGTTCTTGCCCTGACTGTATTAATGTTCTTCCCTGACCCTAATGTAATACTGAACTTGTTCTCATTCATGTTTTCTGAATCATCCAGTGAAGGGCTTGCTGACTATGGGTACATTCTCGGGCGATGCTTCTCCAGTATCAAGATCAGAATTCGAGAAGATTTTGATGACCTTAACTTCATTCATCACAGCCAAAAGTGGCAAAACAATATTGTGGGAACTGGCATTGAAAGCGCTCGTCTGCATTGGCTCATTCATTAATCGGTATCATGAGCATGATAAGGCTATGAGCTACATGAATATAGTGGTCGAAAATTTAGTCTCATTAGCCTGCTCTAGTCATTGTGGTCTTCCATATCCGATGATATTAGAAGCAACCTCAGAAGTCTGCTCCACTGGGCCAAAGTATGTGGAGAAACTGGTTCAAGGATTTGAAGAAGCTTTATGTTCCAGTTTGTCTGAATTTTATGTATGTGTTGCCTCCATGACTTTAGATCATAAAGTTTTAATTTTTATTGGAGCTGATAGTTTTCTATCTCCAGCTTGATGTTAAGAACTCGCTATTTTAGCTAACAGGTTTCTTCCTTGTATCTAACTATTATTCGAAAATGTTTGTCAGGTTAATGGAAACTTCAAGTCAATTGAAAATTGCTCTCAGCTCCTGGAGTGTTTCACCAATAAATTGCTTCCACGGTACCCAAACTTTTCTTGAATTTCTTATATCGTGTAGATAAACTTGTTTTGCCAGCTTGTGTATTTCCCACTCCAAGTTGTTTATAAAGAGCCACCCTGGATAATACAACCTGTCATATATTATGGTTCGGAAGATAAAAATTTGAAAACATTTGTGGTGCATCTATGCAATGATTTGAGATTATTTCTCTCTATACCTTCTTTCTGCCATGACCAATATTCTTCTTTCCCTTTTGCATGTTAATTTGTATCAGTTCTTCTGACTCGTGGTATTTTGTTTTGAGCTCAAATAGTGTGGCCGAGATAGATGGTCTTGATAAAATCTTGGTGCATTTCGCTTTGAGTATGTGGAATCAAATTGAAACCTCTGGAGTTGGTTGTGATTTCTATGGTAGGGTAAGTGTTTGGTGAACTTTCATTGTTTCTCTTCAAAATAGATTTGATTCATCTATTCTTGACGTTTTGAATTTAATTGCTCTTCTACTACAGGAATTTGTTGAGGCAGCAATGGCAACAATGCGGCAAGTTGTAGGAATTGCTTTGGTAGATTCACAGAACATTATAATCCAAAAAGCTTATAATGTGATCTCATCAAGCAAGCTTCCAGCTATGGAGTCTATTCCTTTGACATTGGTTGCATTAGAGGGTCTACAACGTGACCTGTCCACTAGGGATCAACTGATACTTTCACTTTTTGCATCAGTTATCATAGCTGCATCTCCTTCAGCATCCATTCCAGATGTGAAATCACTTACACATCTGTTTTTGGTATCACTCCTTAAAGGTTATATCCCAGCAGCTCAAGCTTTGGGTTCAATGGTTAACAAATTGGGCTCAGGTTCTGGTGGAACAATTGTTTCAAGCGATTGCTCCTTTGAAGAAGTATGTGATATAATATTTCACACAGCTTTTGCATCTGGAAAAAAGATTTCTTCTGATGGATCTGGTGGAATCTTATGTGGAAGTGAGACAAACTTGTCACAGTTATGTTTAGGTTTATGTGGTTCCCTGGACCTTCAAACCCGTGCTATCACAGGAGTAGCATGGATTGGGAAAGGTTTACTCATGCGGGGTGATAAAAGAGTTAATGAAACAACTCTGGTACTACTGGAATGCTTAAAATCCACTAACTGTCCCACGAAGGTTCTGCATCCTGCTGCCATGAAACATGCAGCAGATGCATTCTTCATAATTATGTCTGATTCAGAAGTGTGTCTGAACAGAAAATTGCATGCAGTTATACGGCCACTCTATAAGCAGCGATTTTTCTCTATGACAGTTCCCATTTTGGAGTCTTTGATTAAAAATTCCCAGTCTCCACTCTCGAGGTAACCATATACTACTATATTTATAGTTACTCTTTTTATTTCCTGTGGGTTTTGAATTACCATTAAGTCAACTTGCGTGGACCAAACAAGCATTTTGTAGTCAGAGTTTGGTCCTGAAATTACAGTTAGATCCAATAGCTTCTACCAGCATATCCTACTACTCTTGCATTGGAGAAATATTGCTCATTAGCATCTTCGATGCTCTTGTGCTGTGCTGCCTTCTAGCTCTTTCTTCACTATGCAGTCCTTCTATGTCATTTTCTTAGAAAGGATGCATCTGCACTCAGATGAACCTTTTCAGTGTCCCTCTTTGGAAGAATGAAATGACATCTTGAAAATTGCTAGTTTTATTTTGGTTAGGTGTAGCTAGCACATAAAGTCATGATACTTTTAAGGCTTCTTTGTTGTTGCCCCAAGTTTCCAGCACCAATCATAAATAGGCAAGTTATGATTTATTGTGACAACCAATTCCAGATTCTCAGCTGACTATTTTTTTCATGGTTTCAGAACAATGTTTCTTGTTGCTCTCGCGCATGTTATATCCAATGTTCCAGTAGCAGTTATACTGGACAATACCAAAAAGGTGAGCCTCAAGATAGACTTTGTATTTTATACCTTTATAAACAGTCTCTTAGAAGACCTTGGTCTGTGCAGCTACACCCGATGATACTGGAAGGCTTATCTGTCTTAAGCCATGACTCTGTGGATAAAGAAACGCTTTACAGTCTATTACTTGTTTTATCTGGAACGCTTACTGATATTAAAGGTAAGAAAAAGTTAGATGCTGGAATCACAAGCTTTTTGGATTTATATAAAATCTCATTCTGAAGATCAACAGTGCTTATAAGACTTTATATTGTTTGCATCAACACTTAACAAAATGCTAATATGGTAGTGATCTATTGGGTTTTAGACTCATAAACGACCATGATCAGATGGTTGAATCGATCCAATGGTTGTTAAGTCTCAAAAGGCATTTGTTATTAATTTTTCCCTGCCTGCTAAGTACTAACTGCTACTTATGGTTGCAGGACTAGAATCTGCCAGTGATAATGCACATATAATTATCGAATGCCTGGTCAAGCTTACGTCATATCCACATCTAATGGTAACAAATCATTTTCTCTGCAGTAGTATATTCCAATGGCATTGATTCTTGTTAGGAGATTTTTGCATGTTAAATGGTATGCAGGTTGTTAGGGAGACAGCAGTTCAGTGTCTTGTTGCCCTGTTGGAATTGCCGCATGGAAGGATTTATCCTTTCAGAAGAGAGGTTAGTTAAAACACAGGTTTTTGGTATGTAGTGTAAGAAATGCATCTCATTATTGTAAGATTTCACTTAAGGTTTTACAAGCGGTAGCAAAGGCACTCGATGATCCAAAACGGAGAGTTAGGCAAGAAGCGATTAGATGCAGGCAGGCTTGGTTAGTCACATTAAACTTATGACTCATAATCCTGGCTTTTTGTCCCTATTATGTGAAATGAAGTCTGATAATTGTCAAAAGCAGGGCGTCAATCACATCCACAAGTACCCTTTCTGAAGTTGAATTCAGAGACTGACGAAAAGCGAAGTTTTTTTCATGGAAGCAATGCAGTATCTCTCTCTACTATATTTTTTTTTAGAGTTAGTATCCTTACTGACACTGACGCATGTATCTCCCTCTTCAAACTTAGATTACATCCGGTTTTTTCCTTCAGGGTTTAATAAATGCAAATGTCTCAAGCCCATCTTTTCAAAACAATACTTGATATAGTTCAAAAAATGGTCTTAGAACAGCCCCGATTAACTCCGAGTCTTGTGAAGCGAATACAACCCTCTCATCACTTTGCATACTTTTACTAGACGCATCTCTCAAAACCCAGGCACATCCAGCTTATTACAAAGGACCAGGAGTTACCAATGTTAAATGTGTACTAAGAAAACAAAGTATATCTTTTACATGCGATGAATATTTTTGGGAAATATCACTCAAGTTTTTACATCTGATATAGATTGCGTAATTTAAGAAGTTTACAAAGTATATATATTTTTTGATTGAGTAACCCCAAATAGCTATTTTTATAAATTAGTATGTTTATTGTAAAGCTTGCCACAAGAAAGAGTTTAGGTCAAAGAAGATTATCTGTGCGAGAAGGCAATCTCTTAAAGAAGTTACTTGGCGCAGAAGGTAACTTGCTTCTAAACTTAGGGTGCCTTAGATAGTATAGCCCACAAACTAGTGTTAATACTTTGAAAGGCACTGCGTAAAAGACTACCGATGCAGCCAAGCAGGACAATATGAAGAGGCTTGTAGCCCTGGGATCTCTCCAGCTCATAAGTGACTGAATTCTCTCTCCCTGAGATGCAATGTCTCCAACTACAGTCTGGATCCTACCTGCCACACCTCTGAGTCGGTCATACCTCAGCCGCACCAAGTCTTGCGACCGAGATGTTGGGAATGTGTCAAACTCTTCATCGAGCTCATCGGGACCAACTGCCTCGGCCCATGAAAGCTTCATATCCATGTGAGGAGGGTGTCGCGGTCTGAACCTGAAGTTCCACAGTCCGATGAAAAACATGTAGAGAAACATGGTAGGCAAAATCAGTTCAGGGTACATGACCAAAATGAAGAACAAGACATGGACCAGAACCGAAGTAAGTGGATATCGCCAGTTGCAGACATCTTCAAGCCATTTCGCGACAGAGAAATAACCCGAGAGAAGCGACATTATCCTAAAGAAATTAGCTTTGCTTCTTCTCATGCTCCATAGGTGAGAGTCTACATCTAACATGTACTCGACGACCTCTTTCCTAAGTGGCGGCTCAGCTCGACCAAGGCGGGTTGCAACAATGTTCATGGCTTGGTACCTTAAGCTTTCTACTTGGCTGACCGTAAAAGGGGAAATGTAGTGCATTTTGGGGAGCAGAGAGTGGCCGTAGTTGTAGATCATATTGGCAAAAGAGAGGGTTGTCAAACGGATAGATATTTGAAGATCACCGGTTTTCTTGAGACCGTGCGGTTGAAGAACGAGAAGCGGAAATGAATGTGTGTAAATCTTATGAGCCTCTAGCGTTGACAGCCTGATTCGAACCTGTTTCAAACCCGAAAAGTTAGAAAATAAACGTAAACATCTCTACGTATGACTACTGAGATAATATGATAACTAAATTCAAACCTTTCCGATTCTTGCATCTCCAGAAACGCCAGTTCCGGAACCGAGATGACCATTGTCTAAAACTCCGAGAGTGATGACAGTACAAGGATCATAGACTTCCCATGTATATTGCTCGTTCCATCTCGGACTGAGTGAGTCGAGAATGGTTCTGGTTCTCACCCATTTTTGCCCGTACTTAGCGACACAATAGGCGTCTGTGCTTCCTCTGCCGTCTTTCAGCTTCATCGGGGCCAACCCTTTTGCTCCGAGAATCCCGATCTCTAACATTCCCACCGGCTGCTTCCACAGCTGTCTAGCCGTCGGTCTTGTGTCGCTTATGTACATTGTTGACTCATCCATCACATGGTAGCCTCCTTCAAGACAGATTCGCAGGTGAATCCTGCTCGAAAACTTATGCTCATTCCTTCTTGAGTCTGGCTCAACGTGACCGTACTTATCAAGATTGAACCAGCGAGAAGGAACTGGACGGTGGTCCAACCGCTTCTCGAAGATGTTCATCGGCAAGCTGATCTTGCCGATTACTTCATCTTTCGACGTGTGGACTCGGTCTTCGACTGAGATTACTAGCTGCTCTTCAAATGGTTCAACGACCACAAAGAGAAGATCTTCATTCCAAAGCGGATTTGCGGTCTTCATGGGGCATATGCTGGTCTTGAGGGTTTGCATTCCCAGATTGGCTTTGACGAAAACATCAGGAAGGCGGTTTCGGTCACTCGGGATCATGTCCTGAGCTTCGATAATGTTGACTCTCAAGTACCATAGCTTAGGGGAGACATACACCTTGGATCTGACGTTGAACAGGCTTTCTCCGTGAACAGAAGCAGAGTCGGCGTGCCATGCTTCTGGAAAAGCTTCATCGGCTTGAGATCCCATCCATACAGCAAGCATTATCTCTCCTCGTACTACTTTGCCTTCTCCTCTCCAATCCTCTAATCGGTACCACTGCGGAGCTAAAGGGCTGTTTGGTGGAACCCTTGTTGGGATCTCGTTCAGATCAAACACAACCTTTCCAAGAAAATCATCTCTCCCTAGAGTTTCCTTGTCCTTCACAAAGACTTCAAGTACGGATGATTGGATCCGTTCTTTTGGGAATGCGAAAACTTGGTTCCATTCAGGAAGGATCGTCTTCCTCTCAAACTTCTTCGTTCTTCCCTTGTAGTTCCCAAGCTTCACCTCCACGTAAGGATCACATCCACCAGTGATCAAACCAGTTGAAAGTTGTTTTGCTCGAACAACCCGAACATAGAGATAAAACATCTGCTCCACAAGATCGTAAGTGCCCGTAGATCTTTCTCCAACAATTGGATTTGGCCATCTCTCTCCAAGACCGAGGTTCATGGCTTTCACCTTAAACTCATTTGGGTCAGTGTCAGCATATGATGGCGGGTTCGCTCCTCGAGACTGCGGTTTGTTGGCGTCCTGAGGGTTTTCACGAGACCGCGGGCGAATGGAATGCATTGGTGCAGGCCGAGCAAAAATTTCTTGTCTATGTAGTTTTTGAACTGCTGCTTCTTTAAGTTGTTCTTTTTTCCTTTTGTCTTCCACGCGCTCGCTGGCAGAATCAACAAGATCGTCTTGCTCTGTTGATGAAAATCTCTCGAGAGAATCTTCTGTTTCGGAATCAGCAATATCTTCTTCTGTTTGTGTTGTGCTGGTGCTAGGCTTACAAGGAAAAAGAGTAGGAAAGGTTTGGTTTTGTTCAGAAAATGAAATGTAGAGTTTGAGGCCAATCTCACCTTTGATAGAAGAGATAAGCCATTTCTTCTCCAAGGGGAAGCGTTGGTACACTTGGTCGGCCTCGTAAACAATGTTAGAGCAAGAAATCTTGACTCGGCCGAGGAAACTTCTACCCGGAACAGGTCTTCTTTCGTGGTAAACAGAGACTTCAATGTGATGGTTTATTACTGTGGGGTCGTGATCGAAGTAGAGTTTCTGGTTCCAAACAGGGTTAAGGCTTTTAGGAACGGTTCTGGTTCTGCTCAACTGGTTAAGGAAATCAACTTCTACAAAAGGGCTGGCTGAACCTTGGCCATCTCTGGGCATAAGATGATGAGCATCAACCACATGTACGACCAGTTTGGCGGTGTGTCTCATGATGGGGTTCTTGGTTTCTTGGGGTCCAAGGGTGATTTAAAAGGGAAGACATCTAGACAAGAGAAATCCAGTTGGGGAAGAAAGGAATTTATTCTGATTATACTACCACGAAACAAGCTTGTTTCTCGGTTCAAGTAAAGAATGGGATTACGAAACAAACTACTTTTGTCTCTCATTCAGCTACAAGCTCTTGTAGGATTCTCTCTAGGAAGATGATTTTGGAGGGAAAGTATAATAAACCTTTTCGAGTGAAAGGTCTTAAGAATAAAGTTTGGTTAATAATTAAAGTAACGGTAGTATATTTAAAATATTTTCCAGTGCATATTGTTACCGTTTATATAAATGGTAAAGCCAAAAAAAAAAAACTAAGAAACGTGAACGGAATTTATAAATTCTTCATGTCTGCTTGCTCTGCCAAAACAACAACGGTTGACAAACAAGTTCAGTTTGCTCTAGCTCAACCGCTATAAGCACAACTCGGGAGGGAACCCGAGGATTCTGTTTTGGGTAGCGTCGAGAACTGGAGCTCTGCAACTGACTTTTGAAATAGGTTCTGCAAGAGCTTTTGCTTCGGCACCTGTCCATGGAATGGAATGGAGTTGCATAAAGCACTAAGATCGAACCTTTTGAAGCATTTAAAAAAAAACCCTTACGATGTTGAAAATAAATAAATTAATATGCTTATGCTTAATTGACCAGTTATCTATATATAATAGCAAAAAAAAAAAAATGATTATTTTTGGATTGTGACTTTTCGTTAAAAAACCGTTAGATGGTTATTTCGTGAAACCGTTTTGTCAAGAGTCGCGTCTATTCATTATAACTGTTCTGTCTAAAATTGTGTCTTTTCATAAACCATTAGGTAGCTATTTCGTGAAACCGTTTTGTCAAGAGTCGGGTCTATTCATTATAACTGTTTTGTCTAAACTTGCGTCTTTTCATTATAACTATTTTGTTAAAAGTTGTGTCTAACCAAAAAAACCGTATTATGGTTATTCATAAATGTTGTGTCAGCTCCGAAAATATGTTTTCCGTATATATATATGTTGTACCTTTCTTCTGTTTAACATTTTCTTTACCATGGCTATTGATTCTACAATTCACTTAAAATATAAGAGTTATAAAAAACGTGATTCTATTATTTTGCATTTATTTAAAAAAATGGATATTTTTACCATTGATGAAGTTCCAAAAATTCTTGATTTGTTTAAAGAATTTTGAATTTTTTTAGACAATGCATGTATTTTGGAAAATTTTAAATACAAATAACTATAATGAAATTTCCTAATTTATATTTCTTGGAAATGGGTGGGGCATGTAGTGAATTTTTGGATTTAACAATTTCTCTACAGAAATATTGATTCTTTATATTTGAAACCAGTTTATTTAGGTTATCAACATCGTAATATTGAAGTTGCGTTAACATTGCTACAAAATTCAAGGATGAAAAAGCACCCACAATCGATTTGTTGGTTATCAACTATCTTCTTTATATGTATCAGAAAAATTAAAGATGCTAAAATTCAAACAAATCGATTAAAATGGCATACAAATCTTGATATTTTACTACTTGTTAGATGAAAATTAATGGTTCCAATCCAAAAAGTGTGTGTGGAAGGTAAAACGGTTTTTAGTGACATGATTCATACGTCTAAATTTAAAATTGTATCGTCTTATAAGTGTTTGTTACCTTGTAGTAGTATTTGTTATTTACGACATCAAATTGATTACTTTCTTAAATATGTGTAAATGTAGTCATACTATTTTTGTAAATGTAATTCAATTTTCAAATTGATCAATAATAAATTCCAATCCATTTTAAGAAGTGGTTTTGTCTCGGACAAAATAAAGTGTTCTCCTGCTATAAGAAATTAAATTTTATCCCGA